CTTCTTCGCTTGACGTCTCTTCATCATATGTTGATTCATTTTCCTCTATATCGTTCATTTTGCAAATATGATTGTCCAAGTGACGTTTTAGATTGAACCCTGTGGAGAATGTCTTGCCACAATAATAACACTGCTTGGGTAACGTGTCYTCTAAGGGATCTAATACAAAATGATTTTCCTTTCAAAGTTTGCCGCAATTTATGTCCTCCATGAACTACTCTCAACCTGCTCCTTAACTGCTCCTCATATGCTCCCTGCTGCTCCTTATGCTCTCAGGCTGCTCCTTCATATTGAATACTCCTAAGGACTCATGAAAAGAATCTCTACTCGCAGTGTACCTCGAAGCTTTTTTTTTTTGTCTTTCCTGTTTTGGATAATTTGAAGCAACAACCTTCTGATCTGGAGTCAGGTGTCAATCAGTCAATTCTTAGAAAATAACGTCACTGTTGCCCATGGCCTTTTTGTCCTTTTCTGCGAGATTGGCCTGGTTTTGGCCTTTTTGGCCTGGGTATGGCCTTTTTGGCCTGGCTGAAGGCCATATATAAACCATAATTAGGAAAAATAAAGTCATTTTATTTAACTCTTCCTGAACTGTAAACATGGTTAAACGAGTTTGTCGAGACTGCCCGATCGCAGGATGTGGTGCAAAATATCTCGTGAGATTAGCGAACCATCTGTCGGATGTTCATTTGCTGGATAGCGATCATCGGAGAAAGTATCTACAAGAGGCTAAACTGCAACCGAAAGTAAAATTCGTTTTGAATCCAATTAGTGCCAAAACTGATGATAACAATGACAAAAACTTGACGCATGTACAAGGCAGAGAGTATGAGTTTTCGCAACCAAGAMAATACAGGGTGCAGAGACTTGCAGACACTAAAGTAAAACAGGGTGCAACCTTTTTCAAAACAAAAACCAAAGAAAAAAAGAAGCGAAATCACGGGAAATCAAAAGGATGGTTAACGATGAATTAGGACGAGAGAACAAACTAATAATTTGTGTCAATAAGGCTGGTTGTTTGTTCAGTTGAATTCAATAGTAAATACGCATGAC